ATCGTAACCTCTTTTCCTGCATTTTCTGGGCAATTGGAGCTACTTTCATTTGCGCTCGTATAGTGTCATTGCAGATGTGATCCTTCAGTGTCACTTCTAAGGTCCATCGTAGCATCCTTGTTTCCATGACACAGACTTTGCGCTCCTCGACGCGCGTACACGGCCAGCATTCACTGCCATACAGTGCTGCTGGGCAGATGACGGTCCGGTACAGTTGGGACTTAAGTTTCACTGGCATTCTTCTGTCGCACAGAACTCCTGTTAAGGCTCTCCATTCATCCATGATGTGTTCATCTTGCTTGCGATCTCCTCTTGTAAGCCTCCCTCCGCTGAGATGTGAGTGCCTAGGTACTTGTGTGACGTTGTCTTCTTTAGCTCTTCACTATCGATGCTTATGGTACCGAGAGTTTGTTTTCCCACTTCCATATACTCTGTCTTCCTGGTGTTGAGCTTCGGCCATACAACTCTAGCCTATTCTTCCAGTTTTGTACCTCGTCTTGTAGCCCCTTTCTGGTACATGCTATCAAGACCACATCATCTGCGTAGAGAAGTGTCCAAGGAGGTCCACGTCTGAGCGGTTCCATCACGGTGTTCATCACAGTGATGAAGAGCAAGGGAGAAAGAACTGAACCCTGGTGCACTCCGACCCTGATTTGGAACTCTTTCGATTGCCCTGCAGCTGTTTGCACGTGGCTTGAAGCTTTGTGATAGATCAGCTTTATCCACTGAACGTACTCCTCTGGCACCCTGTTTTTCCGTAAGGCCCACCATATGACTTCATGGGGCAGCTTATCGAAGGCTTTCTCCAGGTCCAGGAAAGCTGCATGCAATTCCTTCTGCTTCTCTCTATACTTCCCCATCACTATCCGAGCGGAGTGAATTGCGTCAGTTGTACCTACTCCTTCCACGAATCCGCACTGATTTGGTGTCAACTCTATGATATCTCGAAGACGCGTTTCAATTATTCGCTCGAAGATTTTTAGAGTGTGGCTCATCAGTCGGATTGGTGGGTAGGATGAGCAGGCTATGTCTCCTTCGTTCTTCCATATCGGAGTAGTCGTGCTGGTGTACCATTCGCGAGGCATACTCTTGCTCCCTATGATTTGATTGAAGAGACTTGTTAGCCATGTGGCTCCGGATTGTCCACATATTTTCCAGAACTCGCTTGGTATGTCGTCTGGACCATTCGCTTTGCCATTCTTTGTTCTATGGCTAACCATCCATACTTTCTCTTCCGTGACTGCTGGTACTGGTCCTTGTATGGGACTGGCTTCTGAGATGGAGTTGATGGTGGTGCGATCTATGGTGGCCATTTCTTCGAAGTAGGTTCTCCATCTCTCGGTTATGTCCTCTGGTTTTCTTAGCACCCTACCAAGTTTGTCTTTGATATGGAGGAAGTGTTCTATATCTTTTGTAGATGCCGCTCTTCTTTTCGCTCTCCGTTATATCTCACGTTCTCCCTCGCGAGATAGATGATCGTAGAGCTCTTTCAAGTACACCTGTTTTGCATTTTTTACGGAAACCTTTTGCAGCGTGTTGGGCTTGTTGGTACGTCTGACGATGGTCCTCCGATTTCGTCTTGTGCCATTGCTTGTCATTCCTCTTCTCCTTTATGACTTTTTGCACTTCGTCATTCCACCACCACGTTTCTCGATTAATCCTTCTTTTTCCTGGCTTTGTAATTCCCAGGATCATGTGTGCCACTTCGTGGACTCGATCTTTCAAGCTCTCCCAGGATCGGTCTGGGTTCTCTTGCAAGCGTGGTAGAGTTGTTAGGAGTGCTTGTTTCGCCGCGTTGTTGCTTTTCAATTTCCACCATTTGAGCGTGTCCTAGTCTCTGTGGCTCTCCTAGTGTGTCTATCCACTGGGATTCTAATGTCGAGAAGCAGTGGTCTATGTTGAGGTATGCAGCTCTCAGCGGGAATGACTTTGCAGTCCATTACGTTTCTGAGGTCACGCTGTCGGATAGCCCAGAAGTCTATCTGCGTTCGTCGATCGCCACTCGCATATGTTATGAGGTGATCAACCTTCTTGATGTAGTATGTGTTCGCCAAGGCCAGATCATAAGCTGAGGCGAATTCCAGAATGCGCTCACCTTCTTCAGTGCATGTTCCGTATCCGCGGCCTCCGTGACATTTCACGGCTTCTCCTCGCCTTTTCCCCCACATGTCCGTTGAGGTCCGCTCCTAGCAGGAGTGTCTCATCCAGTGGAATTGAACTGATGTGGTCATCCAACTCCTGCCAGAACGCGTCATTTACGTCATCCCTACATCCGATTTGTGGCGCATAGGTGGTGATTACTCGCAGAATCTGTTTCCCAGTATCTTCCTTTATGCTCATCAGATGATTGCTTATGCGCTCAACGTCCACTATATTGCTCCGTAGAGTCTCCGAAACAGCTATACCAACCCCGTTTCTGGTGCAGGTGGCACCGTTGTAGAAGATATATCCTCTCCTTATATCCATCTCCGATGTCGCATGACTTTGCCCCGCTTCACCTCGTTTCCTGTATGCAGGCTACATCGATTCGCCGTCTCTTTAGAAGATCTGCTAACTCACGACACCGAGAGGTGAGTGTACTCATATTGATGGTATCTAGATGGAGATTCTGCGATGCCTTGGATCGTTGCCTCTGGTGAACTAGCCGCTTAAGCCGTCCCCGTTCACCTTGCTGAGATGGCAACCCTCGCCCATGTTCGCATTCGTCGGGCTCGAATGCGCGTCGCTTCTGGAGGAACCCCCTAGCCTTTACTCGAGATTCTATATGAAACATGTCTGTGGTGATGCGACGGGGTGTTTCTCAGCCGGCTTGTCGCATGCCCTTTTTTGGAAGGGCAGCCTGACGCTGGAGTCGTGTTTGTAGGATGCTTTTATATCCCATCGAATCACTTCACTATGCTTACCCGTACTTCATGTTTGTTGTTTTGCTCAGGGTTTGAGATTTGAAGATGAATCCCAGTATTGAAAAGTACATTTTTCTTCAACTTCGATAAAGTGGATGAAATAAAGTAAATCCAATAGACACGAATATTAAGTAAAAAAGAATAAGTGTTAGCACGCCACATACAGCTATGATGCAAAATCCGCACCGGCAGTGCTTCAAAACTGAGACACTATTATAAAACAAGTGTAACTGAACATTCACAACTTACTTATAGCAACTCCCGCCGAAATCCGTAAAGAAAAGTGCGATAGTTGCAAAAAAAAAACCCCCACCTATCGTTGTTGAGTCGAAAATGATCAGCTGTTCTTCGATATTTATTCTGCGCAGTTGCTAATACCGTACCAATTACGAACACTTACGGACTTGTGCAGTGACACGCCCCATCTATCGCGGGGAGTCGACGATATGTTCAGTGGGAAAAGTTGATCTACTACAACGCTTCAAGCCGCGTGCAAATAGCTGCAGGGCAATCGAAAGAGTTCCAAATCAAGGTTGGAGTACACCAAGGTTCAGTTTCTTCTCCTTGCTCTTCATCATTGTGATGAACGCCGTGATGGAATCGCTCAGACGTGGACCCCCTTGAACATTTCTCTACGCAGATGACGTGGTCTTAATAGCAAGTGAAAGGAGTTACAAGACGAGGCACAGAGCTGGAGAAACAGGCTAGTGTCGTGTGGTCTAAAGCTTAACACTAGGAAGACAGATTATATGGAAGTCATTAAACTCCTGGTACCTTAAGCATCGAGGTGAAGAGCTAGAAAAGACAACGTCACACAAGTACTCAGATAATCGCCGGGGGCAGGCGGCCAGGCGATTTTTGGGCAAGCGGGTACCGAAAAAATAGTTCGCTGATTTCTTGCGGCCCGCTTGCAGATATTTGGAAGAATTTTAGCGAAATTTTAGACGAATGCTTGGAGAACAACGCGGTTTTCTTACAGATTAGCTGCGGCGCAGTGGCCGCATTCTTGCGGACTTTCCGCGAGAATATGCAAAATTTTCGGGGGCCGCACGGTCCTTTCTTGAGAACCGCGCAGCCCCCAGGTACTTTCCGCTGAGAGAAAGTACCTCAAACTTGAGTAATTAAACCAATGGTGACACCTCTGCCACATAGAGTCTCATCTTTTCTCGGCGTACGCTCGAAATTGCGCAGAAAGGGTCCGAGCGCCTGCTGAAAGTTCGGCCAGCTTTTGCTGAAAGAGATTATTTGACGAGCGCCTGCAGAAAATTCTGTGTTGCTGCCCGCTGGCAGAACATTAGACAGTAAAGGAAGTGCCGTCCGCTGAAGGTTTGGCCACGCCCCAAAATTCTGCTGACCGCCTGCCCCCGGCGATTATCTGAGTACCTAGGCAGTTACATCTTAGCAGAAAGAGGGCTACAAGAGGAGGTAGCAGACGGGATTAACAGTGCATGGATAAAATGGAGAGCTTTAAAGGCAGTGTCCAGGCATATCTTGGCGTATGGGTTTTTCGCCTGAAAACTGATGAGTGTGTCATAGCTAAGGCACAGCCCAAACAGCAGCGCAAGTGATTCAACCGAGATATTCCATCCCCAAACACTCCGTGCGCCGTGGCCGTAACTCGTGAGGAGTGACTCACATGTGTTCCAGCACGAATGTGGTGTTCAAGTGAGCGAAGTCGTTTTCGGGTTACGGTCACGTTTTGGATTTGCTGAGTCCAAAATTATGCACAGATTTGTGAAATACTCATTTTTTTCGTTCACGGTTCATCACATTTAGCAAGGCCACGAAGTGTAAACTAACATTTTTAGAAGCTAGAAAGCTACTATGGTCTGAGCACATTTCGAGGGTTCAGAATGAGAGAAAACTCGTTGAAAGTTTAAGGACGTCGCTTCTGAGGGCGCTGCAGTTAGCTTCGTTTAGACTAACCAAGCGCTCATACTTACTTGAAATGAACAGCAGAAGCCATTCTTTTTGTTCCAGTGCACTCACACTTTTGATTTGTGATGAAAAACTATGTGGCTTACGTACCACGGAGTAGTTCATTTTTTTCCATTTTCAAAAGCAAAATAATTCCACTTCTACCGAATAACCTTTCAGATGAACAGCAACGCACAGCCAGCTTACAAACTTCGCTTGATCGCCTTCAAGATAATTTCAATGTCTTGGCAGCTGCTAGAAATGATGAGCGGTTGGCGTTTGAGGAGAAAATTGTGCAGAATGAAATGCTTGTGGAAATGTAAGCTTAAGAAGAACTCTTTTTGCAAATGTTGACTACCAACCAGGCTGCGAAAGAATCACGAACAAAAACAGAATGAATTGCGAATTGCCATTAACGAAAGGGATTTACTGAAAGCTCGACTCGAAGAGTTAGAGAATGACTATGAGTCATACAAGGTAAAATGTTTCTTATGTGACAGTAACAGCTTTGTGCTTTTACACTCGCATCATATTGAGCGAGAGGAGTTATTTTTTTGCAGTCTCGTGCTCGCTACGTCTTGGAGCAAAGAGCGCAGAGCTCGAACGAACAGGTAAATCAAAATATAGATTTCAATGCTGCAAACGATGCCATATCCGATCTCAAACGTGCACTACAGCTTTTGCGGTGAGCTCTCAGACAATAAGTTTGGTATTGCGTGATTTCAGCTTCTGCAATCGCAATGAAGATGATTTCTTTCTTCTTCTTTTTTTCAGATTCGCTCATGATGAAGCTCTTAGACTTGCACGCAAAGATCGTGTACTGCGAGAAAAAGCTGAATCAAGCGCTCGTTCAGCCAAAGCTGAAATAGTAGAAATCTACGATCATATGGCGATTGTGTGCGTTGTTTGGATTTCACCCGTGAGGATTTCACAAACTGTTTTGTAGACGCGAAGAGTTGTTCAATAGCAGAACGGAACTGAGAGATCGTAACGAAGAATGCGCCCAGTACCAGAAACAAATTTCTGATTTGGAAAAAAGGGTGCAAGATGAGAATAGAGAAAACTTGCAGGTTGGGTAAATATCTGGTTAGTGAATACAAATGATGTAATCTCTTTCTAGATTATAAAAAAGCTGAAGGAAGATATAGCCAAGCGAGAAAGTGTCGAAAACACTTTGACCGATGAAGTGCAGAATGCCAAGAAGCGCTATCAGAAGGCCATGAACTTGCTTGAAGAATGGAAAAACTTAAGTTCTCGTCCTGCTTCTACTGACATTCCCCAGGCAAGGTTCGATGTTCAGTTGAGAATTAGTGTACTCATTCTGTTCGTATGCACCTTCATCTTCGCACACTCTTAAAATTTTTGAAACGCCCACTCCCTCATCCTTATCAAATTTTCGTTCTCACAAACACTTCTTCTGCATTTGCGAGGCTAAGCGGGGGCTCCACGGGATTCTGAAATCAGCGATCGCGTGATTGAACGTTCCAGCTGGGGAGGGGAGCGCAGCTCAATAGTAAAGCTAATAAAAAGCTTTATTTTCCAAAGCTTTATAAATCTGGATTTCACACTTTATATTCTCCAGGTTCTCTACTATTTTTTACTATAAATATGTCAGATAAAGACACTCACAAGGGAAGTCCGATTGCTCAAAGTGGTCTTTCCACATGAGTCTTATACCATTTTGAAGAGCATCAAACGATGGTTCCAAATGTGATTTTATTATCTGCCGAGCGCCTATGCATGCCGAGTTATGAATATTAGGTTGTAAAGAAAGTTCCCGGGCACTTTTGGAAATTTCATTTTCAAACCCATTTTTTCGGCGCTTGGTCGGACTTTGACTCCAATTTTTTTATGCTTTTCAATAGATGGAAGCCTAAAGTTTTCAACAAGCCTTCTGACTTTTATCGATGCCAAGACGTGTTTGATCTGCACGTCAAGAAGCGAAATCTTTCCAACCACGAAAATTTCACAATTTTTCTTCCCACTGCCATTTTTTTGTGCAAAGCAAAGAATTTCGTCCAAATCGTGGGTGATTTGATTGAGAAGCCTGTTAACTTTTGATCCGCAGCTGTACTCGAGCTTTGCGATTTGCGCTTTTGCAAGCTGTCGAACTTGCCTCTGACTGCAACTCTTTTCGCGGCTGGTGTCGCTTCTGCGGAGATCGCCATGCCTGGAGGATGGATCTAAAAGATGTGCAAGGCATTACCCCAGCAATGTTCCCAGTAATCAAAGATTTGGTCTTTTCTGTGCAGACTCGAAAAATGGTGCATTTTAGGGGCAAAAAGTGGTCGATTTTTCAAACTTTCCGGGAAAAATTTTTTGCAGGTGGTCCTTCAAAAACATGAATGGTCTCCATAACAGCCCCAGCAGACCTCTATATAACTACAGCATCTGGCGTCTCCAGCTCTCGTCATGCATGAGATAATCCTGCACAAATAGGCCTCTTTTCGTAACGACCTTTTTCTCTTCTGCGCATGCTGGGGGACCGTAGTGAGGTGCTGAGAAGCCATCAAGAGAAACATATGTTGTAGACAAAATTGTCTTTGCAATGAAGTTTGTAGCTTCAAAAAAGAATCAATCTGCTCAAAGTTACAGCGATTTGAAAAAATTTTCGCAAGTGCCCGGGAACTTTGCTTACAACCTAATATTTTCTTGGTGCGGAATCTGAACGCATAATCCGGTTAGAATCGAATTTTACGGTTTTTTCAGCGTTCAAATAGGGCAGTGTTAAGTATGAGTGTTTTACACTGGAGGTACTGTTTAGATAGGTGCTCTGATAATCAACATTGGACCATTTGAGCATTCTGACGAATTTTGTTCTAAATGCATTCAAATTTTCAATCAAAAAAACCGCTCATAACTCGACGTCCAGAAACGCTAGGCAGATAACGAAGACAGATTTGAAACCAGCGTTCGATGCTTTTTACAATCGTATCAAATTCACGAAAAGGACACTTCGACCAAACAAACCTCCCTTATCAGAGGAGTTCATACTCAAGAGGAAATCCACCTCCACTTTGTTTTACCTTGTTGTTCGTGTGCAATCGCAGAAAAAACAGGCGCACAGACTTCAAAATATAAAAAAAAACTCGCCAATACAGCCCTCTTCTCTCCAAAAGATGACATTGTGAGATTACGGAGAGGGAATGAGGAATGAGGGTCTTGCAGGTTAGTGTGCAAAGAGGGCGGGGGGGGGTCGTTTTAGGACATGCGTCTGACTTCTTCATCCTTGGCGGTAACGAACGCCATTGAAACTGAGGGTGGCCCCATCGTTGCGACTTATCTCATGCGAAAAACGTCATCAGCATGTCGACTAACTCCCATAGACTGAATGTCGGCCAAATCCGTGATTCTGACCCGTACAGGCACCATTATGTAGTAAATGTGCCATATTCTTGATCGATAATGGACCGCATAGATCGAGTTTGAGCGAACGACTTTTAGATCTTAGGACCGGATAATGGCACCCCGGATTTTTATACAGGGTGTCCCAAAAAAATACGAACACTGTTTGGTCGTTAATAACTCTCTTGTTTTCAAGTCTTTCGTCGAGCATGAGGTACCATTTTCTGGAGCAAAGTTCAACTTACTAGGGAAGCTTGTTTAGTTGAAGTGGTCTTTCCAGCTGAATGTTCAACCAGTTCAAAGGGCATTGCACGCTGATTCCAAATATGCTTTTATTATCTGCCAAGCGCTTCTAGACGCCGAGTTATGAGTGTTTTTTGGAGCAGAATGAACGCAGAACCTATGTAAAAACAATGGTTACAATTTTTTCTGCTCTCTAGAGCAGTGCTGAGTGTGAGGGTATTAAATAGAAGATATACATTGAATGAAATGCTTTGACGATTATCACCTGACCGTTTACGCAATTCTGGACGATTTTGTTTGAGTTGCGCATTTAATTTTCGACATAATAAACGCTCAAAACTCGGCTTCCAGAGGCGCTTGGCAGATAAGAAGAAGGATTTAGAGTAGCGTTCAATGCTCTACAAAGTGTTATAGGTGACATGTGGAAAGGCCCTTCGACTGAACACGCTTCCCTTGTTAGATTTACGGCATGGAGCGAATCACCAGTCACTCTTCATTATTGTCGCATTACGGTATGAACTTTCAGCATACAGCGCTACTGCGGAATAGGCATTTTGATGGAAAATACTCCAAAATATCCGGAAATCTAGCAAGGTTTTTAGACGTGCTGATCTCACTACCCAACTTTTTATCAGTTTTTCGAGTTTTATGGATGTAATCATCACACTTCGGACGAAATCGGAAAAACAGTTGTTACCCTAATCCTGAACCAACTTATGAAAGAAGCATTACAGTGAAGTGCAACTTTATATTCGGAATAAGCGACTGCGATTAGTCCAGACTAGTATATCTGGCTTGTTTGGTTTTCCGTCTGACGCAAAAATCGCTTTCAAATTCCTAAAATCTTTCTCGAAGTTCTATCGTAATCCTACAGTAATGAAGAATGACTGGTGATTTGCTCCATGCTATAGATCTAATTTGAACCTCGCTATACGGAATGTCAAGCTCGACGAAAAACATGAAAGCAAGAGAATTATTGACGAAGTTCACATTTTTTTGGGACACCCTGTATGACGGAGACAACATATCTTTTATTTGTCTTATACATATCTTACCTCTTCCCCAACAGTCACAATGCGCTTTCGTTCCTGATCTTCAGAACTCGCCTCGTTTGTTATCGTTTCCTTTTTCCCAGAGGGCTCTTAAAGGCAGTGTCCGGGCAAGATGGGGTTCCTGGGATTTCAGTGCCATGCGAGAGTGGGCTCCCTCAGACACAACATCGCGCAAGTGCGACGTCATAACGCTCGACCTAAAGCAAGAAAAACGACCGGAAAGTGGGAAAACTTACGCCTTGGGGCGGGGCCCTCCGAGCTGTCCGAATTAATGAGTACGCATGCCGCCACAGTTAAAATGTAGGGTCCCGCAGCAACTCTGCGTCTCTGCTTTGGTGGGGTCCGTCGAATTTCAAAGTGTGCGGCTTTGGAAAACGTATGTTCTCGCCGTTTTCGCGCCTTCTAATGGGATTTTTGGAGTCAGCGTTGCGGATAACCCTCGGTAAGTGGATTTTCTAGAAAACGAGTTTTTGCCCGGACACTGCTTTTAATATAGCATGTAACATACAAGGTGTCCCAAAAAATATTACTCTTTGATTGCTGGTAACTCCCTTGTATGAAGTCTTTCGCGATGCCTTAGGCACCATTTTGTAGAGCTGGCTTCAACTTAGATTTAGAGTGTAAGGAATCGCCGATCGCTCGTTCCTACTATAAGACTGCGGTGGGATTTTAGCATATAGCGCCACCTTGAAACTTGCCGCTCGGGAGAAAAATTCCAGAGAAATCTAGAAATTGTGTAATAGTGTTTTCAAGCAAATCGATACTATCAAACAACTTTTTATAAGCTTTAGAAGCTTTTCAAAAGTGTAATCAAACTTTTAAAGAGCATCGAAAAACCGGTCATTATTGTGTATTTGGCATAACTCATGCAAGAAGCGTCACGCTGAAGTACTGTGGCCGTATTCATCAACGAACCCAGTGGGTTCAACCCACCGGGTTAGTGCTTTTGATGAACATCGATTCTACCCTGGAGTAGAATCGATATTCATCAAAAGCACTAACCAAATGGGTTCCGGAACCTACTGGGTTCGTTGATGAATATGGCCACAGGTTTCATATTTGGAATCAGCGACTCCAACGAACTTTGTATGAGAGTTTTCAGGTCATTCTATCCATTTTCACAGGTGATATGGCCCTGAACGACTCAAAACCTTCTTCAGAGTTCTTGCCGGAATCCTACAGTATGAATGATCATCGGTGATTCCTTCTATACTGTAGATTTAAGTCGAAGCCAGCTCTAAAAAATGGTGCCTAAGGCTTTTCGAAAGACTTCATGACAAGAGAGTTATTAACTGTTAACGAGTAGGTACATTTTTTTGGCATATAGCATCTTGAGTTTGTACGTACCTGTACACGAGATTGACAGTTGAATACAGGAAATTATTTTTTTCTTGGAATGGCAATATTTTACGACTTCCTCATCTAAATGACGGGAATTAGAAAACGTATTTGATCGAAAAAAAAAGAAAGTAAATAGATAGGAAACTCATTGTATATTATACTAGCTGGCTTACCCGGCTCCGCCGTATCCGGACCAAACTTGGCACACATACACTTCGGGCCCCGGCGGGTGTCACAGTCCACTTTTCGTTATCGATCGATGTCGATTTTACCGATTTTTATCGATTTTTTTGCAGAGTTCACCTACAGGGCTAGGAGTTGGCACAAGGGGGGAAGTGAGCATGGGGATTCCGAATACAATATTAGTTTTCAGAATTATCGATTACTCTTATTGATTTTATCGATTTTTTGTAAATTTTGACATGCGAGGCTGGGATTTTGCACAGGGGGGTAATCGAGCATGCTGATTACGAACACAATATTAGTTTTCAGGATCGTCCATTACTTTTATCGATTTTATCGATTTTTTTGTAAAGTTTGACCTGTGGGGCTGGGAGTTTGCACAGGTGGGTAATCAAGCATGCTGATTACGAACACAATATTAGTTTTCAGGATCGTCCATTACTTTTATCGATTTTATCGATTTTTTTTGTAAAGTTTGACCTGCGGGGCTGAGAGTTGGCACATGGGCGTAATCGAGCATGCTGATCACCCCCCTTGGGAGTGATCAGCATGCTCGAATACTCCCCTGTGCCAACTCTCAGCCCCCTAGCTCAAACTTTGCAAAAAAATCGATAAAATCGATAAAAGTAATCGATAATCCCGAAAACCAATATTGTATTCGGAATCCCCATGCCCGATTACCCCCCTGTGCGAACTCCCAGCCCCGTAGCTCAAACTTTGCAAAAAATCGATAAAATCGATAAAAGTAATCGATAATCCTGAAAACCAATATTGTATTCGGAATCCCCATGCTCGATTACCCTCCTGTGCCAACTCCCAGCCCCGTAGCTCAAACTTTGCAAAAAATCGATAAAATCGATAAAAGTAATCGATAATCCTGAAAACCAAGATTGTATTCGGAATCCCCATGCTCGATTACCCCCCTGTGCCAACTCCCAGCCCCGTAGGTGAACTCAGCAAAAAAATCGATAAAAATCGATAAAATCGATATCGATCGATGACGAAAAGTAGCCTATGACACCCGCCGGGGCCCGTAGTGTATGTGTGCCAAGTTTGGTCCGGATCGGTTTAGAAATGGAATTTTCTATTCGGAACATACGTACAGACATACAGACAGACATACAGACAGACATACAGACAGACAGACAGACAAACAGACATTCAGCTTTATATATAAGATGGTCTGTGCATTGAGGGATATCGAAGACATGTTTGATTCACATGTGAGTATCTTCTGTTTTTATTGTAAAGTCCGCTCTTATTTCAGCACTGAGGGGCGACAAAGTGATCATCAACAGTCACAACTCGAGACGCTCAAGACGCCGTCTTATGGTGTTTTAGAACTTCAACAGGTAAGCAAGTTTAAAAATGCTGGTTAGTTTCCCACTAGCTGGCATACCACGCTCCGTCCGGCCCTGTCAAGACACCTGATAAAGGTCTCATTCCTGTTTCTACGCAACGTTACGATGCCTTGGTCCTACTTCTTACCAGTTCACTGCCCCCACTTTCGTCATCAGCATGCTCTCTTACCCCTCTTTACTAGTTCCAAGAGCCAAATTTTGCAAAACATCGATAAGCTCGATAGATGCAATACACGAATAGATGTGTGATTAACTTCCTTATAAAACGGAAGACAGAAGAATTGAAACATAACTTCCAAGAGAGAAGTAGTTTGCAAAAAATCATCTTTTATGATCGAGTATTTCTTGTCGTTTTCGTTGTAGAGTTTTTTGAGGCACTTTAAATACGTGAGCATAAACATAAAGTAAGGCAAATTTCGCTCTATATCTGGTTTTGCCGGGTAACATACATCAATTCTTTTTTTTTCTTGAGAACCGGATCTCAGAAGGAAATCAATTCTAGTAGTGGTCAATTGAAATGCGAGGAAAAACATGACTCCAGGTCCGTCTTTCATAACAGCTCCCAGATCTGCTCATAACTTGAATGCGCTCTACAGATGAGGAAACATGATCCGTTGCCTCTTCTTATCTGCCACATCTTCAAAGGTCACGACTAAAAGTGCTTGCTTTGTCTTCTTATTTTAGCGTACTTTCTATAAAACTATTGTCGTCAAATGTCGTGGCCGGGCAGGAGGCAGCAAAGGCTTGACGCCTCTGCATATGGAAGTACCTGTGGAGCTTCAGACTGCCTCGCGCCTCTAACTGTTTCTTCTAATACTTGATTTGACCGAAGGACGTGCAGGATCTTCCAAATGTCGCTTCTTCTCCAGGGGCATCCCTCGGACTTAGTTATTGCTTCGCGCCTATCTTGCACATTCCTGCATTAGTTCCCCTCCAGACAATCGCGTTTTTCTTTCAAGTCTTGAGTGGGAATATCAGCGTATAAACGTTGGTTGTAGGTGATGATCAAAAAATGAAAGATCTGTTGAAACACGTAATATTAGCAGAATGACAAAGAAAGTACTCCTAGTCGTAGCCATTGAAGCTCTAGTAAATAAGTATAGCGGGATCCTACGCTAATCGTGCTTGGTTAATCTGTTTTATCGACTTCATCTCTTCTACTATCATCTCTTCTATTAGGCGGCGTATCAGGATCCTCCTAAGGCCTGCCGCTTCTTCTCCAAGCGCGCCTCTAGAAGCCAATAATCCCTTCGCGCCTACCTCGTGCTTATGTCGCACTTGTCTCGCAAATTCCTGCGATAGTTCCCCTCCGGACAATCGTCTTCTTTCTCCTAACATTAATTAGAAAGATCACAACTTGAACAACGATTTTCCAATGCTAACAAAAGATTAAGAGGTGGAACTCCCAGTAATCAACAAATGGATGTGAAACATTCGATCACCTTAGTCGAGGTGAATTAATAAATGTTAATTTTGTAGTCGGAAAGGTTACTGCATCACCGTTGTGTCAGTAGAATACAAAAAAATGTGAAAATTAAGCTGACTGACAGGCAAACACACTCCGCTGTGGCTGTCGAGATGTAGTAGATGAAAGGAAGCAAAGGGTGATCATGTTTTCCCACCAGCGGAACCAAGTCATGAGGATCTTTTTAGAAATATACAACTTCAAAAACATATTGTACATCATTTTTTGGAAGTTTACTGGGCCCGTTGGGCCTAATTTTGTCCTTATGGAAACCTACGCTTCAAATGGGTATGTAATTCAGCAAGACCATAATCACAGAAGAAATTGTTGAAAATTCCTTTATAATTGATTTCTCTCTTACATGCCATGTTTCTGCGAAACTTCCATCTGGGGGAAGTTCTGACTTCTCTTATTGCCAAGTTGCATTCTAAGCTACAAAATAATTTCTACAAAAAGGATGCAGGCTCGATTAAAATACTTGTTAAGCATCGTACATTTAGTCTGATGTCATCTGTACGTTTTCGACTGTTTTCTGGCCATGTTATTTTCATATGCCTTTTCTTTCTGAGTCTACACTTCCATAATAAATACGGAAAAGCCCATACTTCCTTGAGAAATGCATCGCAGATACAAAAGTCAGCATTTCGAGCTCTATATACTATTGGTATGCATCAACTTCCAAATTGTCACTTCGACTAAGTTACGCAAGAGGCACTTTCTTTGTCAGTCTACTTATATTATTGTATTAGTCCCACAACTTTTTCTTTTTTTTTTCTTGTTATCATTGAAAAATCGTTGTTCAAGCGGTGGCCTTTCTGATTGATGCTAGGAGAAAGAAGACGATTGTCCGGAAGGGAACTATCGCAGGAATTTGCGCGACATAAGCGCGAGATAGGCGCGAAGGGATTATTGCCTCCCAGAGGCGCGCCTGGAGAAGAAGCGGCGGGTCTTTGGAGGATCCTGCACGCCCTCCCTTCTATTACATAACAACATAACAATAATGGTCCTATTGAATAACATATCCATTTGAAAAAATTGGTTATCATAAGGAAGCTTTATGTCCAAGCGGCCCAAAGAGCTGAGGAAAGACAAGGAGGGCGTGCAGGAGTTCCTAGCACTTTTCCTCGCACCAAGTTCGCACGAGCATTCGCACCCAGGAGTTTTCTATCACCTCCGCGCAGAGATCAGGCTCCGACCATTGCTCCACCCGTTTACTGGTCTCATTGTGAGGCGTGCAAGCAGCGAAAACATAGATTTAGGTATTGAGGTAATAAGCAGGCTCGAGCAAGATGTGTGGCATACAACGGGAGACGGTCAAGAGGCGCGATTTCTTCGCCTGTCACAACTCAAAACTTTAGTTTATGCTCCGCAAGTCTCCAAGAAATCTTATATACAAAGCTGAATGTCTGTTTGTCTGTCTGTCTGTGTGTCTGTCTGTATGTGTGTACGTATGTTCCGAATAGAAAATTCCATTTCTGAACCGATCGGGACCAAACTTAGCACACATACACCCCGGCGGGTGTCATAGGCTACTTTTCGTCATCGATCGATATCGATTTTATCGATTTTTTGCAAAATTTGAGCTACGGGGCTGGGAGTTGGCACAGGGGGGTAATCGAGCATGCTGATCACCCCCGTGGGGTGATCAGCATGCCCCCATGTGGGCCAAGTTTTAGCGAATTCTGAGGATTCCCAATATTGATTGGGTGACCCAAGTGGTGGCCATTTTCAAACATGGGTAACTATATGTCAAAAAAGAATTAGCTATCTCTTTTCGTACTCAGTACAAAGCACTACCCCGGGGATATTCGCCTATACCATAAATCCTGCTTCAAGTAACCATCAAGCTGTGGAATTAGAAGCCAGCCAAAATTTCGTCTGTCCCATTTTTCGTCAAGTGCTTGTGCTTCCAGCTGCTATTTCAAACGAAAGAAGATGTATTCAGCTCTAATGACTTCCACAAAAACTACGAGACTTTGGCTATTTAACTGTACATGACTTTTCTCCTATATTATCGAAGGTAAATGAATGGGCTGTACAACACCAGAAAAGCTGTTGCTGCCACACTTTTTCAGGAGTTGTGCCACACCCCATTAATTTACCTTCAAACCATTCAAATACTGCGTTTTTACATCGTTGATACTGCTTAACCTTCCTTTTTATACAGCGGATTTCATTTGAAATCGTTTCTGAGGAAAGATATATGGTCTTGTACGTACACGATCGTGGGGCAAAACATCAATGTGATAGTATTTTTTTATGATGGGCATATCTGACATCGCGAAGATCATGATATCGCTAACATCAGAACCACCTTGACAATGACCCCCTCCCCTCCCCCGTTCCCTCCCTCGTGTATCTTCGCTATTCCGATGCGATTTTCTCGCTTCCGAAGCGGCATTTCGCACCGCGATTTGGGCATTAGATTGACAAGAGGCCCTACTATTATATGCTGCCAAAACTGAGCACCCTCAACTTAGGGTGGACGGTGCCTTTAAACCATCGATGACACCTCTGCCACATAAAGTCTCATCTTTACTCGGCGTGTGCCCGAAGCTGCGTTAAAATAGTGCTAGGCCACGCCCCAAAATTCTGCCGACCGCCTGCAGAAAAGCGCGAGTTTGCGGGCCGCCTGCCCCCGGCGATTATCTGAGCAATGCGATCCCCCTGGTGTGGCATGCCACACCCACGCTTGACCCTGGTAATAAGAGAGAAAAAATTGAGAAGAACAAAGAACACTCTTATTAATTCTCAAGTGAGGCGACTTGAGACTTCTGCTACGTCATCCTTCCAAAAATGAGCATTTAAAAATTATCCTCAGAAGACATAAATTGCACAGACTTAATCAGTTGTAGATTACTGGTCATCTGATTGAAGTAATCTGGTATCAGAAGGTTTGAATAACGTGACCAGAATTGGTTGGGAACCCGATCACCTTCTCAACATTAGAATAATTATTTTAAAGGGAGTGTATCAAAGTTCCCGGATTACCAACTTAACGCTTTCTACATTACATATTTAAACACATATACTTTCCTCTTTCGTATACTTTCGTCTGCCATCATATATTCCAATGAGTTTTTCATTCGAACTATTTTAGTGATTATTGAGATCCAAATTATCAAGAAGAAATTTTCAAGTTTAATAATTCCTACAATCGATGTACTAGAATATCAAACTTCGGTCGCTTGTGTGATTGAAGAGTTGGCTGAGTTCTAATTACAACACTAACTCTGCAAGATATTCTAATTCGCTATAATCTTGGATTGATTTATCTTGCACGAAACTGACTAACTTCTCTAATATATACTATGATTGGAAGACTCATAACTTCTGCTTGATTTATATCATTAACACGATATGCTTCACAAACTTACTCAAGCGCTAGCACTAGCACTCACAAATTTCTAGGGAAGCATCATCTATCCGAAAACATGAGTAAAAGATAAATCAAAATGCTAGAAATCCAGCTGCAGTCATTTACGGATGCTAAACCCTTGATAGAAGGCTAGAAAATTTTTTTGTT